GTTTGTTGTGTTGCATGTAGCTACATGGAGCTGGAACCGGGGAAAGCTATCGTCCTCAAAATTTGAATGAGAAATATAAAATCTTCCCCTAAGAGAGAGAAATGTGGACACTTAACTCCTTTGACCTTGAGTATGGGTGGAAGAAAGAAAGCTTCCTTTAGAACTTCTTTCTCATCCCTACACTTAGACATATTCGGAAGCAGATTGCATACTTCCCCAAAATTTTAATGCCACCAAATCAAAATTAAGTTGACAGAGGTCCCAGTGATGAACACCCAAACACCTAACAGCTGCAAATGCCAGTCCTCTTTGTAGAACTCAAATATGCACGCGGATGCCATTCTAAAGAATGTGACTGCACAGTAAAATATCTCATAGTATTTGCCTGGCAGGTCATTACAAGTAGTCACAAACAGAAACAACAAACTGCTGAATAGACTTATAAAAGTTGCGGAAGTTTGAAGAATCATACAAAGTCTATCAAATAATGTATAATAGCTTAATGAAATAAAAGTAAGGCAATTTTATGTAGGGATAAGAGACTACGGAAGAGTAAGTTTTAGAAAAAATAGAACTTATTGAAATGAAAATAAAAATAGTTGAAACAAAAATTTATATATAGGTTAAACAGCTAATTTACATATTTGAGGAGTGTGTAAACAGGACAACACTTCTCAATAACTTATTTAGAATACAGCATAGAAAGGCAAGATAATATAAATGTGAGAGTTCACAAAACACTGCATATATGATGAGATGTTCTAATATATGATGGATTGGATATTAAGTAGCAGAACATATCTAGAACAAGGAGAAACATTTATTAGGAGATAATAGCTACTAATTTTCCATAATTGATGAAAGAGACCAATTTATATTTTTAGGAAACCAAATAAATATTAGGCAAGTTTAAATAAAAAGAAATACACGAGAAGTCAAATCTTAATGAAATTACTGAAACTGCAAGGATAAAGAGAAGATTTTAAGGGCAGTAAAAAAGTAAAGATAGATTTAGAGACACAGGGCAAATAATAATTCAACAGCAATTTTGTGATACAAAGATAGTTTAATGATTTCTTAAAAATATGGAGAGAGAACTGTCAAATTAAACTTGTGTATGCATCAAAATAATTATTTAAGAATTGGAGTTTAAAGGTTTTTTTAGGCAGAGAAATAGCCATGAGAGTTAGTTTTTCAACAGCATCAGAAAATGAGAAAAATATAAGCCACACATTCAGAGGCAATATTTGCAGCCAGAAATGATTAGTATCTGCAATATATAAAAACACTCTTGTGAAACCATAGGGAATAGATAAACAATCTACCTAAAACTGGCTTAACTTCACAGGACCTGACATATCTGAAGATGAGTTTCAATTTCTTTTCTCTAGGGAAATGTTGTTAACGTCACTATGAAGAAAGTAATTTCAAAGAACTTTATATAGCAATCCTCAGATGGAAAGCAGCTGGAAGAATGGGAAATATGAAAATCATAAGCTTGACATAAATTGGAGAGATAACAAGGTAGGGAAGAGTTATCAGGCCAGAATACAGGGAAGTGAGATCCAGGAAAATAAGTTTAGACTTTGGGCCTCCTTTTCCCTGAGGGAATTGCTGATTCAGAACTGTCATCACTGAGGAAAGCTCAGTGTTTTTGACTGATTCCTGGGTCCAGGGAGTCAGACACAGGGCGCATCAGAGGAGACTTGGTGAACACCTCTAATTTGGGGTTGAGAAACTCTAGTAAGGCACACTCTCACGAGTACTGTATTTTCAGCTTCAAATCATCTCAACATGTGCATTTGGACTGAGATTATCCTTGATTACTAGCGGCCTCAGGTGCCTGGCAAAACCAAAATTTAAACAACTTTGGAGGAAATATCATCATCCTAATCCACATTTTTTTTCCAATTGCACATCAGATGAATACGGTGGACTAACTTCTGTGGTGCTGGATTGATGTGTTGGTTTGAACTTGTGTTATTCAATATATAGAGACATTACAGAAGCACATACAGATGTAAATATCTGTATATATGTGTGTGTATATAAATGTATACATGTGTATAAATATGAGTGTGGGTATATATATACACTCTGTATATATTTATATGTATATTGTGTATGAGTATATATGTGTATGCCTAACTGTGTGTGTGTTTATGTGTTTGTGTAAATCTGGCCACTGTGAGGACCTGGGAATGTTGATCCCCCCAACAATGAGCATATGTAACACTCATAGAACTCAGATCTTGGCTTCGAAATAACTTTCTTCACTATTAAAAAAAGCAGGACTCCTTGAAGAAATGGTTTAGACCAAGGATGGTGTAGAAAAGGTACAAGATGAGCCATTTTGTGGTGCCAGGGAATCAAGAAGCCCTCAAAAATTGATGGAGCATGTGAAAAGGACAAGGGAACAATCTTGAAGAGTTCTACACTGGCCAAGTCTGGGGCAATAGAGCATCAAAATAAATAACGATAATAATGAATAAAATTGGAAACCACAAATCCGTAATGATATGAAATAAATAATTAATCTATAAATTGGAAGTTTTTCCAAGGATTGAGATATTTATATAGTATTCAAAGTACTTACACAAAATACTAATTTCAAAGACAAAAGAGTAGCTTTAGGGTGAGCAATCCTGTAAACAGCCATATTAATCAAGAAATAAAAGAAAATATCACCAATCATGGGAAAAAATGAAATAGTGTCATGCCTGATAGGATTCCATGAGAAGACATCATTACTTCTGTAATATTCCTGCCAAAGGTTAATAAATTTAATATAATCATGCAAAAACTTCAGAGAAAAATTCAGAGACATAATATATAATTACTGGAAAATAATTTCCAGTCAACATTCTTGAGAGTTAAGGAAAGACTAGGGAACTATTCCAAATTAAAGGAGATTAAAAATTTATGACAATTAAATGAAACGTAATTCTAAACTGTATTCTTTTTTCTATAAATGAAATTTTTAGACAGCTGGTGAAACTTGAATAGGATTGGAAAATTAGATGTTAATAATGTAGCAATGTTAATGTCCTGATAATTAAGGTTGTATTGTGCTTATCTAGTACAATATTCTTTTCGTCATAAATACAGACTACTAAATTGAGTAGCAGATGGGGCATCAAATGGCTCAGGAATAAAAGGTCCTTGTTAAATATTTTTTCTTTGTTTTACATTGTTTCAAAATAAAAATAAATAGGGGACCATTTAATACTTTATTGTTAGTGTGCTTGAGTCTATTCTCACTCTTAGCTACCCTGAGTCCAGCAGAGCAGAACCCTGCCTGGACTTTTTGCACCATCCTCTCATGTTCTGACGCTATATCAGACGATGCTCCACTGCGATTCAGAGGGATTTCATGGATGATGTATTTGGAAATGGGATCTCAGTGGCATAGCTTTCAGCGTCACAGCAACAGGCAGCTGCCACAGTATGACAACCAACAGACAGACAGGTGGTGTGGTTCTCTGACTGGGAAACGAACCCAGGCCATGGTGGTTTCCCATTTTGGGGATGGGTCACAAGCAAATTAATGGGATCCTAACATATATGTTACCTAATGGAGGAAACAAACAGGCTCCTTTTGGGGCTAAACCTCTTTCCAGTAAAATTGCTCATATCGTCCCCGAGCCGTGGAATATCTGAAATTCTTGTTGGCGTTAAGTATAGAGTTTAAGTCACTTCTAGTTCCCTTTGGGGACAATGTCTCTTCAGTTTTATAGTTAAAACAATTTACAGTGGTTTTTAATTCCTTATTTCTTTGTTTTCTTTTTTTTCTCTCTCTTTTTTTAACTTAATTGGTATGTTCAGTCTCCAGAGGGCATTTCTTTTTCTTTCCACTTTCTATTTCAATTAATCCCTTTGTGTCTCTTATGAGGAAAATGATAAAACTGTGGCTTTCGTTAGTGTACAATTGGAAGCAAAAGTTCTTGGTTACAAAATTTGAGTTCCTTTCATCTGAGAGATTTCCCAAAGATTTTTCACTTAGAATTTTTATGAAGATGTTTTCCTCGATTTAAATATGCAAGAAAAACCCCCAGAAAATAAACCTTATCTGGCATGAAAGAGGATTCTAACTGAATTATCTGTAGTATCTGGGTCCTGTGATTTTAATGAGTGTAAGTGAAAGTAGAAGACGTTAGCAGATGCATATAATTTCCAGATTGCGTATCTGTTTTGAATCTTTTTCCAGAAAAACATCGGAATTAAATTTCTTCTTGAAATACTTGAATATTTTATAGTATTATAAAGGGAGAATATTCTTCATTTATTTTTGACTCTTGTTTCTACCATATTCTCAGAAGGGGAAAGTTATATCAATATATCCTGGACATGGTAAGTCATTTATAACTTAGAATAGGTATCTAGATCATAAATGAAAGCAACTCTGCAACCCCCAGTCAGGTAATATTCACTGATTTTTAAACTGTCATATTCTTTTCTATTTTTATGTAGATCCAATATTCAATACTTCCTGATTAAATACAACTAATTATGAGAAGACTGATGTATTTGAAACCCCTCCAAAATAATCATGAAATGAAATGAGATGAAGGAACAATGGAGAGGTACCGCAATCGGACAAAATAATTAATGGTGTATATTAGCGTATTTCAATCAAAGAGGAAATAGGTAATTTCTATATGTTCCACATATTTAAAAAGTGCTTTGATCAACTAAGAATTTTTGCATAACATTGCAAGTTGACACTAGCGTACTAGTCTAGATGTCACAAGAGTTTTTTCAATAATTTATGAAATACACATAGAAAATACATTTCAAGTAATACTTATGTTCTCTCTGTTTAGAACATTTAAACAGAATTCAGCTCATTTGGGAATGAGTGGCTAAAATTTAAATTCTCTCTCAAGTTCAAATGGGGAAAAAGGAAGGATTTAGTAACGTTGTAAAGATCACTGTGGCTTAAATGTCAGTTGGAGGCTGCTTAGGTTGATCTATGCTGTTGTATTAGGTATCATCTGTCTTGTCAAATTGGATCAAACTTTTGAACTTGTTTACATTTCTGATTTTTTTTTTTATGTCTGTAGCTTTTAAAAAATTTGGTTATTTCCACTTTTGGAGTTTTCCTATTTCTATTTAATCTGACTCAAATCTGAAATGAAGAACCAGTCAAGAGAGACAGAATTCATTCTCCTGGGACTGACTGATGACCCAAAATTGCAAATTGTGATTTTTATATTTCTCTTTCTAAACGACATGTTGAGCATGATGGGGAATTTATCCATCATCCTCCTCACCCTACTGGATCCCCACCTCAAGACTGCCATGTATTTTTTCCTCCAAAATTTCTCTTTCTTGGAAGTTTTATTGACAACTATCTGTATTCCCAGATTCTTGGTCACCATCGTGACTAAAACCAAAATCATTTCCTACAATGGTTGTGCATCTCAGTTATTCTTTTCCCTCTTCTTAGGAGTTACAGATTTTATCTACTGGCTGCCATGTCTTTTGACCGTTATGTAGCAATCTGCAAACCCTTACATTACCCCATCATTATGAGCAACAAAATGTGCTACCGGCTGGTCCTCAGTTCGTGGACAGCCGGCTTTCTGATTACCTTTCCACCCTTGGTCTCGGGACTGAAACTGGAATTCTGCACTTCCAGAGTAATTGATCATTTCATATGTGATACTCCCCCTGTGCTGCAGATTTCTTGCACAGACACGCGTTTCCTCGAATTGGTTTCATTTGTCTTAGCTGGTGGAACGCTCATGGTCACGTTGCTCTTAGTAGGTTTTTCCTACATGTATATTATCAAGACCATTCTAAAAATCTCCTCTGCTCAGAAAAGAACAAAGGCTTTTTCCACGTGTTCTTCTCATATGATCGTAGTCTCCCTTACTTATGGGAGCTGTATCTTTATTCACATGAAGCCATCAGCAAAAGAAAGGGTGACTTTATCCAAAGGTGTAGCTGTTATCTACACCTCAGCTGCCCCTTTGTTAAACCCTTTCGTTTATAGTCTAAGGAACCAGCAAGTGAAACAAGCCTTCAAAGATACTCTCCAAAAGATTTTTTTTTAATCAAAAAATGAAGAAAAAGTTTAGTTTTAAAAATCTCTGAGAAAAGATAAAAAATATTTACTTATTTTTTAAGCTTACTTAATCTGTCCTTCGATTAATTAACCTTCTCCAAACATTTTAACCAAACCTTTCAGCACAATGGCCTTTTCCTTCCTACTTCTCTTTATGATTAGCATTCCTTTTATGCTATAGTGAGAGTCTTCTCTTCTAGGTATCAACACAAACGCTAAGTTTTATTTACAAGAGATGGTACTGACCTCCTCCTCCAAAAATAACTATTTTTTTAGTAATTAAAAAAAATTGGCACCTGAGCTAACATCTGTTGCCAATTTTCTGTCTTTTTTTTCTACTTCTTCTCCCCTCAAACCCCCAAGTACATAGTTGTATATTCTAGTTATGAGTGCCTCTGGTTATGCTGCATGGGACGCCATCTCAGCATGGCCTGATGAGTGGTGCCATGTCCATACCAAGGCTCCAAACCAGTGAAAGCCCTGGGCCGCTAAAGCGGAGTGTGTGAACTTAACTGCTTGGCCATGGGGCAGCCCCTCATCAGAATTATTAATGACTGTGTTAATTCCTTTTGATCTCTCTGGAGTGAGCTACAGGAAACCTACTTAGAGGTTATTGAATAAAATAACTTGAGGATTTACGTGACCTTTTCATATTGCAGGCCTCAGCACTCTGGTGGTTTCTCAAAGCTACATCTCTGTAACCACTCTTTTCTACTGGAACTGTTGAAGTGATAAATCATTCTATCTCCAAGACCTATAATTTCTAAACAGTCCTCTCCACCAAAAGAAATATATTGGTATTCAGCCAGAATTCCAACTTGACTTGGTTTCTGGTCTTCTGCATTGTGTCTTGTGAGGCTGTTTTTTAAAGCATCTGGGGATTAGTCCTGGGAAATAGAACTAGCATAAAAGAAAAGAAAAGATTTCGTTAACCCTGTGACTCTTGTGGCTAATGAAAGCAATCGCTGGTGCAGCTCAAGGTTAAAAAGAAGAAGAGGGGAAAGGGTAACTTCTCACCAAATCGCCTGATCTCAGCAAATTATTTCATTAACAAATAATTCAAATTACCGTTTCTGCAGTGGCTCACTGATTCAGCAGAGCCAATTCGGCCCCCCAGGAATTTCAGATCAAATGAGCATGCTGTGGGCTACATAGACCCTCAGTGTTCACACTGGCTTTTCTTTCCAGGGCCATTCCCCACATTCCAGGTAAAACAAATGCTACTTTGTGGTTTGTGACCCTCATATCAATCTACTTGAATCGCTCCCATTCTGATAGCAGTTTTGAAACCAACCACTTAACACCCTCAAAAAGAAGAAAAAAAAGACAAAGAAAGAAACATCTGAGAAGTTGAAGAGTCTGAAAGAAGTCCAAGAGCACCAGGAGGCCAGCCGTCCTGGAGACGTGGGAGACAACAACTTGGCTTCCTTGCCCTCTGGTCTTGAAATATAGGGACACAGACTTCAGTAATGGACAAGGCATTTGCAGAATTCAGAGGCCAGGAATACAGGGATCCCCTCTCCTGTGTTGTACTTCTTGACAAGTAGAATGTGTGACAAATTAAAGGTGGTATTGAAATAGTGCTCAGTCTTCCATTGCAAAAAGTATTGAACAGCTGTCACTCCTTCAACTGAATCCATAAGTCTCCCAAGCCTTACAAATAATTATAGCATGCCTAAATTACTTTCCTAATAAACCACTTCATGAATTTAAAAAGGAAGTAATCACAATCAGTAACTACGGAATATAGCTGCAATACTGTCAGTGACAGGAACTGCAACTAGTACTTCGAGTTATTCTACATTCAAACTAAAAGAGCTTCATAACGTATTGGCACAATGAAGAAAGTAATGTGAGACCATTACAAATGGAATAAAGCAAAAAGGAAGACATAGGAAGATCAATTTTACTTTTTACGTTTGTTTTTTCATAAATCACACAGAATTGAGGCATTATTAATGATTTCCTGGGAAATTATCCAAGTGTTGAACCTAACATAGTCATTGATAGGTCACTGATAACATAGGTCATTGATAACATACATGGATAGGCAAGCAAATGGAGTTAGAAAAACTTAAGCAATATAACACCAAAAAGAAAAAAGAAAAGGAAACATAATATGGACTTTGGTGATGAATGAGTACATATCTCAATTAACAAATTACGTGAGATGTTAGCTGAAGTCAGAAATAGAAAACAAAATATTTAAATAGTCTATTAGAGTAAAGTCTTTGATATGTGGGTCATGTATTGACACTAACTAAATTGTGCAGCTAAATTTCAATGGCTGATAAGCCTCTTGTTATGTGGTAAGTAGCATTTATTCAAGTACGACCAAGGGAAGAATCTCCCAACATTCTTACAAAGATGACTGATGAATTGGAGAATGTATTCATTTTGATGAACTCTAAATTTGTGAAAAGACTTTCACATAAAGTTTTTTAATATGGAATATTCTGTGGCTGAGAATGAAGAAAAGCATGAACAATAACTTGTGCTACCAACTTGTAGTCAGCTCTTGGGTAACTGGCTTCCTAATGATATTTCCCTCCTTGGTCTTGGGAATCAAGCTGGATTTCTGTGCTTCCAAAGCTATTGGTATCTTCTTCTGTGACACTTCTCCTATCTTGCAGATCTCTTGCTTCATAGAATTGATGGCTTTTGTCTTAGCTGTGGTGACACCTGTTGTCACTGTGTTGTTAGTGGGCTCCTCCTACACGGACATCATCAAAACCATTCTAAAATTCCCTTCTGTTCAACAATGAGCAAGAGCCTTTTCCACCTGTTCCTCACCTGGTTGCTGTCTCTATTACTTATGGGAGCTGTATCTTTATGTATACGAGACTGTTACCGCACAAGGGCATGATCTGTTCACCATGAGATGAAAGCCAGTCGTCAAGAGGCAAGATGGTGGCAGAGAAAGGGCATTTTATTACAGCTTGCTAGCAAGAGGGAAGATGGCCAACTAATGTCCAAGAGAACCATCTTCAGGGGGGCACAGAATCTTGAAGCAGTTATATAGACCAGTGGGTTATAGGGGAGGGAGTTAGGAATGTTGACCCTCTGGTGATACAGACTGGGAGTTGCCAATGAGATCTTTCAGTTCTCATTGATGATGGCTATCAGCATAGACTCTCTGTTTGGGGGGGTCATCACATTCCTAAGGAACTAAAAAGAACAAAGTTATCGTCTTATCATAGCTGGCAGGTGTATGCACTAGCAGGGGTCATAAAATCTACAGAACAGGTGCAAATCCAGCTGGGTTAGTTAGTCAGAGGTCATTTAAAGAAAAGGTCCCTTTTCTACAATGGCTTCCCTTATGTCAACCTTGTGTTGAGCCAGTATCAAAACCATCAGCAAAGGAAAAGGTAACTTTAACTAAAGGTGTGGCTCTACTCAACAGGTCTGTTGCTTCTTTACTAAACCCCTTCATTTACACCCTAAGGAATCAGCAGGTGCAAGAAACTCTCAAGGATATGTGGAAATTGCTTGTAAAAGAACTGAAAACTGTGCATTTTAAAAAGACTGCCTTCTCTGGCTGAGCACCTGTTTTTGGGTCCACCCATGCTATTGCATGCATCCTTAGTTCATTCTTTTTTTCTAATGTGATTTAGCAAATCTCAATTTAGCATATTTGAGTTAGCAGATTTAGAACCTCTGGTGTCCTTTCGCCATAGTCAGTTTACCCTCCCCTGTTCCCACAGCTTGGTATTCTTAATTCTCCATGAGATCTCTTCACAAAACTGAATCGTTTACTTTGACCAGTGTGAAAAGTCAGTACATACTATATTCCAAAATGTCAACTCTTGAAAGTCTCTATCCTCCCATTATGTCCTTTTGAAATAAACTGTCTGACAAAGGGAAGTTAGTTGGAAGGGATTATTCCCCATGCCTTGGTGACTCTACTCATCAATTCCCATCCTCCAAGGCAGTTGAAATTACAGGAATTGTCTTTAGAGAAAAATAAGGAGGATACACATGGAGGAACACCAACCACCGCTTTGTTGCTCTTTCTAGCATCTCATCTCAACTCCAAATTAACTCCATCTACTATTTTTCCTTGATGCAGCAGTTTGCAAGACTCAGCCTGCTCTTCTCTTTGGTGCTAGCAGCTCATTTGAGCTAGTGGAATTTTCACCCAAAAGGACTTGCTTTTGAGTAGTACACTGTCTTACTTCCTGTCTTTACTAACCATGAATCGGCATATTTGGTTTAAAGTTATACTGCCAAATATATATGAGATCAGAAAATACTGCAATCGTGGGAAATTACAAATTGAAGATTCTTGAAGTATGGATTCTATATCACTCAGGGTTCAGTAGAAAGTAGAATTTCTGTATGTATTCTGAAAATAAAGGGGATACTGGAAGAATTGCAGCTTTTAAAAATAATGGGAGAGATGGGGGAGCAAAAGTTTGAACAACAGATAGAATGTTGAGAAAGCTAATACCACAGATCTCAAGATGAAGCCCTGTACAGAATTGTTGAAGAAAGCTTAGTGGGAAATTGCAATAACTCCGTAACTTCTGAGAAAGCATGTACCAATAGTCTAAGCAGTAAAGTGGGTAGCTCTCACTGAGAATCCACTATGGATTTTGCCTCTGCTCGCCAGTATGACTATGAACATCTCTGGAGATGGATAATAGCCTCTGCTTCTCTTCCAACTTCCAAATTTTGCACAAAGTCTTCTCATTGACAAACTATAAATTAGAAGCATACAGGGAAGGGGACTCTGGGAGACGGCATCCACTTTCTCCTCTGCAATTAGAGAATGACTAAGAAAGTCATGTGTGATGTTGAGTTGGCAACAGACAATTCAGTGCAGACACTTAAAGCCAAAGACGCGGTCTCAGAAATTGCAAAGCATTGCTTCTGTCACTGGCTCTGCCCAAAGACTGAGGTCAGTAGTGGAGACAAGTGAGGAGAGATGGGATTCATTTTGCACCTTCTCGTTCAATTTACCATCGTTAAATAGGACACTGTTTGAAG